GGGCCGGCCGAGCCGGGGCAGCCGCCGCGTTTCCACTCCAGCTGTCAGCTCCCGGGGCCCTAGGTTGTGTCTGCTTGCTGAGTGCGTGGGTTTTGCCTTCACGTAGTTGGCATGTACACACATGTGTTTTGGTAGAGCTGGGACCTCCTGCAGGCTACGTTCATGCTGTGTGGCGGAGCTGCACGCCCAGACCCTCAGCCAACCCTCAGCCGACTGCGTCTGCGTCTGTCTGTGTCTGTCTGCGTCTGCGTCTGTCTGTGTCTGCGTCTGCGTCTGTCTGTGTCTGCGTCTGCGTCTGTCTGTGTCTGCGTCTGCGTCTGTCTGTGTCTGCGTCTGCGTCTGTCTGTGTCTGCGTCTGTCTGTGTCTGCGTCTGCGTCTGCCTGTGTCTGCGTCTGCGTCTGTCTGTGTCTGCGTCTGCGTCTGTGTCTGTGTCTGCGTCTGCGTCTGCCTGTGTCTGCGTCTGCGTCTGTCTGTGTCTGCGTCTGCGTCTGTGTCTGTGTCTGCGTCTGTCTGTGTCTGCGTCTGCGTCTGCCTGTGTCTGCGTCTGCGTCTGTCTGTGTCTGCGTCTGCGTCTGTCTGTGTCTGCGTCTGTCTGTGTCTGCGTCTGCGTCTGCCTGTGTCTGCGTCTGCGTCTGTCTGTGTCTGCGTCTGCGTCTGTGTCTGTGTCTGTGTCTGCGTCTGCCTGTGTCTGCGTCTGCGTCTGTCTGTGTCTGCGTCTGCGTCTGTGTCTGTGTCTGCGTCTGCGTCTGTGTCTGTGTGTCTGTGTCTGCGTCTGCGTCTGCCTGTGTCTGCGTCTGCGTCTGTCTGTGTCTGCGTCTGCGTCTGTGTCTGTGTCTGCGTCTGCGTCTGCGTCTGTCTGTGTCTGCGTCTGCGTCTGTCTGCGTCTGTGTCTGCGTCTGCGTCTGCGTCTGTCTGCGTCTGCGTCTGCGTCTGTGTCTGTCTGCGTCTGTGTCTGTCTGCGTCTGTGTCTGTCTGTGTCTGTGTCTGTCTGTGTCTGTGTCTGTCTGCGTCTGCGTCTGCGTCTGTGTCTGTCTGTGTCTGTGTCTGTCTGTGTCTGCGTCTGTGTCTGTCTGTGTCTGTGTCTGTCTGCGTCTGCGTCTGTCTGTGTCTGTGTCTGTCTGTGTCTGTGTCTGTGTCTGTCTCTGTGTCTGCGTCTGCGTCTGTGTCTGTCTGTGTCTGTGTCTGTCTGTGTCTGTCTGTGTCTGTGTCTGTGTCTGCATCTGTCTGTGTCTGTGTCTGCGTCTGCGTCTGTCTGCGTCTGCGTCTGTCTGTGTCTGCGTCTGCGTCTGTCTGTGTCTGCGTCTGCGTCTGTCTGTGTCTGCTTCTGCGTCTGTCTGTGTCTGCGTCTGCGTCTGTCTGTGTCTGTGTCTGTCTGCGTCTGCGTCTGTGTCTGTCTGTGTCTGTGTCTGTCTGTGTCTGCGTCTGCGTCTGCGTCTGTCTGCGTCTGTGTCTGCGTCTGCGTCTGCGTCTGCGTCTGTCTGCGTCTGTGTCTGCGTCTGTGTCTGTCTGTGTCTGTGTCTGTCTGTGTCTGTCTGTGTCTGTGTCTGTGTCTGTCTGTGTCTGTGTATGTCTGCGTCTGTGTCTGCGTCTGCGTCTGCGTCTGTCTGCGTCTGTGTCTGCGTCTGCGTCTGTCTGCGTCTGTGTCTGCGTCTGCGTCTGCGTCTGCATCTGTGTCTGTGTCTCTGTCTGTGTCTGTCTGTGTCTGTGTCTGCGTCTGCGTCTGCGTCTGTGTCTGTAGCCAGCGGGGCTTCGGCTCGGGCCTGGGACGCGCCCCGCGTGGCCATGAGCACCGAGGGAGGGGTGCGGGGTACAGCCGGGCAGTGGTGCAGACGACCTAGCCACAGAAGCAGTCACCAAAATAGAACACACGGCAGTGCTGGCAAAGAAAGCCAGGTCTGCTGGCTGGACGCGGCTGAACAAACGGAGCTCCGAGGAAGGAAACCCATGCCTGTCCCTCAGCCTCCTGCCCGGGGCTCGGGGCCCAGGCTGGGCTGTTGGGCAGTGGGGGGGTCTGGGGGGTCGCTGGGTCCTGGAGGGGGGGTCCTTGAAGAGGATTGTGGGAGCTTGGTCCCTTCCTGGTGCGGAGAGCCTCCCCGTGGTGGCCCCCGGCAGCGGGCCGCCCTGGACCGTGTCTCAGGTTGGTGGTAGCAGCGAGCACCATGCCTTCAGGATCCGGTCCCGAAACCGCAGCTGCTAAGAACCCGCTGCTCCCAGAGCCCGGGACTTCGGAGCCCTGCTGCGCTCAGCGGGAGTCTGGGGCCCATCCTGCCCTGGTTCATGCCCAATGCACGCAGAGACAGATGCATCCCGGGCTCCGGGACTCCAGGCCTGAGCCCCGCGGCCAGGGCACCCGAGTGCCCCCCCTCCCCGCCTCACCCACGGGCTCCCCTGGACAGAGGGGTGTCACCCACCTCCCGTCCAGCCGCCCGTCACTCCCAGCTGCTGGTGGAGGCCCCGCCGCCTCCCACGCCTCCCCAGCGCGGCCCCGGGCCCGGCCCTGGCCATGGCCCATCGCCCAGGGTCACTCGTGGACCCTCAGCCTCAGAGCCTCCCAGGACAACAGCCATTCACGGGAAAGCCCCACGCACCTCACCCTGGCTCCGCAGGCCGGACCCGCCCTGCCTGCCCGCCACCCCCGGAGCCGCTGCTCCAGCCGGGAACCCCGCAGGGCATCCGCACGTGTTTCCAGGTCCTGTCCATCCACCTCCAGACCCCACACCTGCCGACAGCTCCCACCGGCCTCAGAACCCGCCACGGGGGCAAGGGATCCCGTGGGCCCTTGATCCAGGGTGTCCAGCCTTGCTGTGCCCACGTGAGCCCCTGTGGTCTCCACCTTGGTGCTTCTCCTACCGCACCACACTTCCCGCCAGGCCTTCCATCTGGGCCAAATCCTGGCTCTGGCATTTCCTAGCTGTGTGAGCTGTGGTAAGCCACCGACCCTCCCTGAGCACTGGTTTCCTGGTCTGTGGGGTGTTACAATGGCACCGGCCGATGCGGGTGTTGGCTGTGTCACCGCGCCCCCTGTGGCTGGGACTCTTGGTGGCCTCACTGCCTGCTCTCAGGCTAGGGAGGTGGAGAGAGGGCGGCAGAGCCAGGGAAGTAGTCTGCCCCAGGAGATGCTGGGGTCCAGGCCGGGGCTCTGGGCCTCTTGTCAGTTTGAGGGGTTTGTGATGTGCCCAGCTTCCCGCGAGGCTGGGTGAGCGAGCCGCCGCATGGCTGAAACCTGGGGCTCGCTGCGAGCATGGAGCGGAGCCGCGTCGGCAGCACAGGACCCCGGCTCCCCACGATCACGGAGCGGAGCCGCGTCGGCAGCGCACGGCCCGGCTCCCCACGATCACGGAGCGGAGCCGCGTCGGCAGCACAGGACCCCGGCTCCCCACGATCACGGAGCGGAGCCGCGTCGGCAGCACAGGACCCCGGCTCCCCACGATCACGGAGCGGAGCCGCGTTGGCAGCGCACGGCCCAGCTCGCACTGTGTACCCATACTTTGCAGAAACGATGTTTAAAACAACCCACATGTGTGTTGCTATGTTGGGAATGGTGGAAATCAACATCATTTCATTTTTTCTTCCCTAAAAAACGGCTGCCTGGTGGCAGTTTGGAAAGTGGGGAGGAAGATGGGCCGGCGGTGCTGCTGGGATGGGCGCCGTGGCTGGAATCCGTGTCCCCCATCCACCGGGGCAGCCATGCCCAGGCGCTGTGTGCAGAACGGGGGGGGGGGCACAGGGAGGGTGGGCCATGGGGAGGGTGGGCTGCAGGGAGGGTGAGCGGCAGGGAGGGAGGGCCTTGTCTGGCGGCTAGGTCCTCTCCAGCAGAGGTCCGCAGTGCCCTCTGCCGGGAGACTCAGGCGGCACGCCCCGAGAGGACCCTGGCCCTCAGGACTGGGTGGAGCCTGCAGGGTGGCAGCCTGGGCAGCCGGAGCGGGTGGGCGCGGAGTGTGGCGGTGACCGCGCGTGGCTGCGGGGCACAACTGGTCAGGCCCGCTCTGCCCGAGGCGGCCCTGCGTCCGGAGCGCTGTTGGGTGGGAGGCTGGCGGGCTTGAGGCCGGAGCTGCCACCAGCTGACCAGCCTCGGGGTGCAGGGGTCTCTGCCTGCGTCCACAAGGCTCTGGACCTGGGTGCTATGTGGTCCTGCCTGGGCCCCTGGAGCTCGTGGGGTTTCTGATCCGCGTGTGTGGCGGCCCTGGGCTCCCTGGGAGCAGCTCACCCACCAAACTCTCCTGGGAGGTGTGCAGACGCCAGCGCTCCACGCCACTGAGTCCTCCCGGCTGGCAGCAGGTGGAGGAGGGGGCCCGAGGCCCCAGGGTGCTAATACCAGGCCCCCAGGACCAGGTGGGCAAGGCCGGGGCGGGGCCTGAGGCCGGAGCGGAGGCCCGTGGCCGGCCGGAGGAGGCAGCGCTGAAGGAGGCAAGCGCGGGCCTGGGCAGTGGGCGGCTCCCCGGGCTGGGGCTGAGGAGGCCCGGCCCCGCCCTCGCTGGTGGGAACTCACAGAGCTGGCTGCCAAGCGTGCAGAAGCACTGTTAGGACGACACAAGTGTGCAATGCGCATGGTTGCTGTGTGCAAACTTGGTTCCACACCTGACAAAGGGCAGAAGGTGCACAGGCCCTGAGGTGTTCAGCATCTGTGTTTCACCTCAGGCTGAAGTAATGGATTCACCCTCAGCCCCAGTAAGTAAATGGAGCTCAGCAAACCTGAGCAGGGGGAGGCCTGCCGAGGCGCGGGGGTGGGGGCTTCTCCCAAGCGGCCGTCGGTGGGCTGGTGCGTGCTGAGCCGGCACCCAAGGCCAGGGCCTGGACGGGAGGCGTTTTCAGCACCACACAGTTCCCAGATAAAGATGGCGGCAGCAGCATTGAATCGCGTGGGCTCTGGTCCCAGTCAGCTCCTCCTCAGGCCAGGCTATCGCAGTGCAAGTCCCGTGGTCCTCACCGCCACTGTTGGACAACTCGGCCCCCCTCTGCCCCCCGCCCCCTGCAGGGCTCCCAAGCACCACGCAGCCAGTACTGGTCTCCAAACCTTTATTGGGGAGGGCGGAGGCCCTAGCAGTTGTCTGACAGACACATGGGGTAGGGGTGCAGCAGTTCCACGTCCCCAGGTCCTGATCAGAGGAGAGGGGTACAGAGCCTGGGGTGTCTCCTCCCCCAGAAAAGGCACTGATGGGTGAGCCCGCGGGGCAGGGCCAGGTCCTGGGCAGTGGCGGCGGGAGGGCGCCCGGGGGCCCGGCCGGGCCGGGCCCCGCCCTGGGCCGGGCATTCGGAAGGCAAAGCTCTCGAGAACAGTCCAGCCTTTCGGTCTTAGTGTTCTGTGCAACTTAAAAACCAACAAAATAAATATAACTTAAAGAGTCTTGAGGACACTAAGGGCGCGCCAGGGCGCGCCAGGGCGCAGCCGGGCAGGCGGGCGGGGCCCAGGCGGGCGGCAGCCGCAGCTGTGAGCCCGGGCTCCGCCACTCCAAGGCCATCTGTCCGCAGACACGGGAGAAGGCGGCGGTAGGCAGGGTGGAGACAGCGCCCCAAACACAAAGCCCGAAGGAGGCCGGCAGGAACGGAACTGCGCGGCTATGCCGTTGACACGGGGACGGAACCCCAGGCTGGACCCCAGGGTAAGGGTCATCTGCCAACGGCTGCTGCCTTGCCGCCATGCTTGCGTCAGGATGGTCCCGCAGTTTTGTTCATGTAATTAGTTGGCTTTGGGTTTTCCTAGGTAAACCGAGGCCTGTCTGCACTTACTGAACCGTCACCAGGGAGTCCATGCCGGCCACTCCCTGAAGACAGCTTCACAGCCTCTCCTGTGACGCGGGGTGCAGCGTGAACGCAGCCGAACCCCCAGAGCCGGCCCAGGCTCCACGCCACGCGCCGCTGCTTCCCGATCTTGCGCCCAGCGGGCCGGGGCCTGACCTTTACAAGTCCACCCAGGCAGGAGCTCAGACAGTCAGAACCAGAGCCGGGAGAGCTCCGCTGTGTCCTTCGCCCCACCCCGCCCCCATCAGCCTCGGCAGGAAGGGGGAAGATCCCTTCACCCCGCAGACCCACGCCACCGGCCCACGCTGCAGATCCACCCCGCCTGCCGGCCGGCCGCAGGGGCTGCACAGCTTCTGGAAGCAGTCAGGCCAGGCTCACTCCCCAAACCACAGCCTCTGAGCAGCACCTGAGGGCGGGGAACCCGGCAGGCGCCCCCTCTCCTGGCCCCGTGACAGTCAGGGAGCGCGGCCGGGCGTGAGGCACAGTCCTGGGCACAGCGCCTGGTGGTGGAGCCCGGGGCTCGCAGCCTCCGCCGCCCGCTCAGCAAGGCCTGCTTTACAGCTGACCAGGTGAAGGGACGGGCCCACAGACTCCAGAGAGGGAGGCCGGGCACGCCAGCCACCCCCAACCTCACCCAAGACGCGGGGGAGCTTGGGATCTAAGCTCTCGGGTATATTCTGGGGAGACTCAGAAATGGTGCCAGGAAGACAGAATTCTGATTCCTTCCAGCTAGTGCTGGCCTGGACCGGCCCCAGCCCCACAACAGCTAGAGACCCAGACCCCGCCAAGGCCCTGGCGTACAGCCTGGCCACTTAGCAGCTGGGGTGCCGGGCAATGGGGGACCGGCATCCTGCCCAGATGGGGTGGGGTCGAGAGCCACGGGTCCTGAAGCTGTGTCCTGAGCAGGCCCCAGGCCTCATCACGAGAATGGGAGGTGTGAGTGAGGCCGGTGGAAAGCACCGCTCAGCCCGGCTCGGCCAGCGCCCCGTGGTGTCTGGGCAGATGCTCCAGACAGGCTGGGGTCCTGCCCCCAGGGCCAGGACCCCAGCACCCAGCCAGGCTGGCCTGCACAAGTGCCCGGAATCTAAGTTGGCCTGAAGGTGGAGGTTTAATACCAGGTGGCCGGGGCCGGGGAGGCTGGCAGGGCCGAGGTCCTTGCTTAGCTGTCCGGCAGGACAACTCCGAGTTTCTGGAAGAAGCCCAGGATGCCTCAGGATGCTGCTGGCCAACAGGGATTCTTCCCGGTTGGGAAGCAGTAACTGTGCTACTCACACTAGCCACTAAGGGGCAGCAGCCTCCACCAGTGGCCTGCAGGGCCGGGGCTGCCCTGCGGCCTCCTCAGCCTCTCCCCACCACCACCCCGGCTCCCTCCAGCTCTGAGCTCAGTGGACTTGTCCAGGATGATGCTGACCCTGGGCTTCAGCGTCTCTTCTAGAAGGTGGTTCTATTTACAAAGAGAGGAAGAGGAAACATCACCTCCAAGCTCCACGTTAGAGAAAGAACAAGAAAATCTCTCTCCTCTTCAACAAAGTGTCTGGTAGTGCAGTTCGGGTGGGTCCGGGCCTGGGTGGGGTGGGTAGAGGTGGAGGGCAGAGGGGGCGGGGCCACGGGCGGAGGGGGGGGCCTCAGGACGGTGGGTCGGCCCGGCACATTTCCGACAGGATGTCGATGAGGTTGTTGAGTCCCGAGAGGTAGCCGTCCTCCCGGTTCCCCTCCTGCCAGGGCACGTCGTGCCGCAGGGTCTGGCCCTCGGGCAGCGGCGTGGTCTTCCCGAAGTCGATCATCCACACCTTCGCCTGCCCCTTCTTGTCGTGGATGAAGAGCAGGGAGCTGCCGATGACCTGCAGGCGAGCGGCCGTGAGGGGCTGCGGGCCCCGCCGCAGCTGGGCAGCGGGGCTGGCCCGAGGTGGCTGTGGGGTGCCCGGGTCTGGGGATGGCACGCCCCGCCCCTCCAGCCTGCGCCTTTTCTATTTCCAGGTCACACCGAGCCTTGGGATCTCACCCCCCACCCCTCCATGCCCGGCTCCGCGCAATGCTGGGTGACTGCAGGGCTAACAAGAGGCCAGGCCTCCCCTCTGCTGTGCCGCCCGCACACAGCCCCACAGGCCTCCGAGCCTGGTCCCCGTGCAGTCGCTGGAGACAAGGGCAAGACAGGGCAATGGCCGTGAGGCCCGGGAGCCCCGGGCTGAGGGACAGGGCCCTGTGGCCTGTGTGCGCTCATGGCTGTCCCTGGATTTGGGAGAGAAGGCAGCGTGCTTACCTCGTGGCACTTGAAGAAGGGGGAGATTTCCAGGGTTGCTCGAATGGCCTTCAGCCGGTCCCGGTAGGCGACCTGGAACAGAGACCGGCTTTGTTTACTCGCGGCTGAGGCAGGGCCTGCAGCTCCGCACGGCAGCGCATCACTACGTTGGAAGTGGGAGTGACCTTACGCCATGCCGCCAACTCCAGCCTCATCTGCCAACAAGGCGCTGAGGCACAGAGGGGAGCCAGCTTCCGGTCCGTCTCTGCGGCTGTGGCCATCCGGAGAGGCTGGGAATGGCTCCTCCCAGGGAGACAGGCGCGGCCACGGGGCCTGACTAGAGGCCAGCAGACCTGCGGCCTGGCCGCGGAGCCCGAGCGCTGCGGCACCGCTCCGGGGAGCACGGCCCCCCCAGTGCCAGCTCCGAGGTCACCGGCCGGGGCTGCCGGGTGCCTATGGCACAGGGGCTCCGGATGCCCGCTGGACAGCAGTGGTCAGCAGCTGGGCAGGGCTGGACAGCACTTCTTGGAGCCCTGGCAGCGGGACCACACACTCCCTGCACAGCACACTGCCCACCCCAGCGGGTGCCCGCACAGGCCCAGCCCGGGGCCCGGCTCGGGCGGGGCCAGGCACGGGCTCAGAGCAGACAGCGGCCCCTGGGCACTCACCAGGATGCGGTGGTCCCCTTGCGTGAACTCCTGGAACGCCTCCGTGACCTGCTCCTTGGTTTTGGTCTTCTTGAAGTCGCGGTTCACGGAGCCGTCCTCCTTCTACCAGGTGGGGGAGGCACACGCATCAGCAGAGGGCCCAGGGCGGGCGCGGGCGGCGGCGGGCCCACGCTCCACCCTGCAGCGGCCGCAGCACTGAGTGCTGTTCTGTCCCTCCCATGACTCTGGGCCCCGGTGACCGGCCGGCACCGCGGGGGCGCACGGTGGCCGCCGGAGTTCCTGCCTAGATGCCACCTGAGAAGAGGCTGCAGGGGGACACCACGCCGCCCACCCTGCACCCACACGTGGAGGCCGGTGTGCGGGGCGGAGGCCCAGGGCCTGCGGAGCTGCCCCTGCCCCGGCGGAGGGGCCTGGCCTTGGCTCTGGGCCTGGGCCTGTGCGGGTCAGGGACGTGTGCAGCGGGGGCGGCGGCCGGCTGCACGGGCAGAGGAGGGAGCCTGAGCCCTGGGGGCCCCTCGGCGTACCCCACTGAAGGAGCTGCTCCTCCGGGCCCGCTGGGGCTCCGGGCCCACGCAGGCCGGGTCAGGCGGGGACCGGGGCGGGGCTGACTGCGGGGCAGGGCCACTCACGGGGCCAGCCCGACGCCCCGTCCTGCTCCCGCTGTGAACGGAGCTGCGTGCGGGCGGCTGGCGCCGCTCCCCGAACCCACCTTGATGCCCTCGATCCGGAAGCCCAGGGTGGCGGTGGAGCTGATGGTCTCCCTCCACTGCATGTAGCGGGGCTTGGTCACCGCCCGCTGCGCCTTCTCCTCCTCGGTGGGGGCCTCGGGGTCCACCTCCACCATCTTCTGGTACATGTCCTTCCGCAGGCTGGGCTTCTTCCGGGCCTTGCTGAGCTCCTCCTCCAGGTATGTCCTGTGCGGCACGCGGGCATCAGGCCGGTCCGTCCTCCCGCCGTCTCCCTGTCCCCGGGTGGCCGGAGGCCGAGCCTGCTTTCGACGCCTCCGGACCTCTCCAAAGTGCGTCTGAGAGCCGGACAGCGGCAGGGACCCCGGGGCTGAGGAGTCATGCCTGGGGTGGGGCTCAATGCCCTGAAATGCTCCTCCCTGGCACAAATGGGGGGCAGCTGGGAGCTGCAGGGACCAGAGCGCTGGAGAGGCGGCCAGCAGCCACGGCCGGGCTCCCACGCTCACCTCCAACCCGCAGGGGTGACTCTCCCTGCCCCCACTCCTGGGAACCCCTCCGCCCACAACAAGCACCCCGAGCAGCTGGTCTCGGCTGTGGCCAGTGGGGGGGGGCAGGCAGAGGTGCCTCAGAGCCCCCTGGGCCCCCCACATCCCCAGAAACGTGTCCAACCCTCTCCAGACTGCAGCTCTGGGACCCAGAACAGGCTGGACAAAATCTACACCTAACAGATGGCGGGTTTTCAAATATGTACTGAAAGAAAAAGGCAAGGAGAACCCCAAATCCTTGGGTGTGAACCTGACCCTCCAGGAGATCAGACCCAGCCGGTACTAGTTGCTGGCTGGGGGGCTGCGTGCCCGCGCCGGGCAGGGCAGGGCAGGCCCACACCCCACACCCCACGCCCCACACCCCACGCCCCACACAGGGCAGGCAGACCCACACCCCACGCCCCACACCCCACGCCCCACACAGGGCAGGCAGACCCACACCCCACGCCCCACACAGGGCAGGCAGACCCACACCCCACACCCCACACAGGACAGGCCCACACCCCACGCCCCACACAGGGCAGGCAGACCCACACCCCACGCCCCACACAGGGCAGGCAGACCCACACCCCACACCCCACACAGGACAGGCCCACACCCCACGCCCCACACAGGGCAGGCAGACCCACACCCCACGCCCCACACAGGGCAGGCAGACCCACACCCCATACCCCACACAGGACAGGCCCACACCCCACGCCCCACACAGGGCAGGCAGACCCACACCCCACGCCCCACACAGGGCAGGCAGACCCACACCCCACACCCCACACAGGACAGGCCCACACCCCACGCCCCACACAGGGCAGGCAGACCCACACCCCACACCCCACGCCCCACACTGGACAGGCAGACCCACACCCCACACCCCACACAGGGCAGGCAGACCCACACCCCACGCCCCACGGCCCACACAGGGCAGGCAGACCCACACCCCACACCCCACACAGGGCAGGCAGACCCACACCCCACACCCCACGCCCCACACAGGGCAGGCAGACCCACACCCCACACCCCACACAGGGCAGGCAGACCCACACCCCACGGCCCACACAGGGCAGGCAGACCCACACCCCACGGCCCACGCCCCACACAGGGCAGGCAGGCCCACACCCCACGCCCCACACAGGGCAGGGCAGGCCCACGCCCCACGGCCCACACAGGGCAGGCAGGCCCACACCCCACACCCCACACAGGGCAGGCAGACCCACACCCCACGCCCCACACAGGGCAGGCAGACCCACACCCCACACCCCACACAGGGCAGGGCAGACCCACACCCCACACCCCACACAGGGCAGGCAGACCCACACCCCACGGCCCACACCCCACACAGGGCAGGCAGACCCACACCCCACACCCCACACAGGGCAGGCAGACCCACACCCCACACCCCACACAGGGCAGGGCAGGCAGACCCACACCCCACGCCCCACACAGGGCAGGCAGACCCACACCCCACGGCCCACACCCCACACAGGGCAGGCAGACCCACACCCCACAGCCCACACCCCACACAGGGCAGGCAGGCCCACACCCCACGGCCCACACAGGGCAGGCAGACCCACACCCCACGCCCTGCGTTGGGCAGACCCACTCCCCACGCCCCACGCCCCACACAGGGCAGGGCAGACCCACACCCCACGCTCTGCGTTGGGCAGACCCACACTCCACGCCCTGCGTTGGGCAGGCCACGCTGACAGGCAGCAGTGGACACCGGGGCTGTGTGTGCTGTGGGAGGGGCTCGGCCTTGGGGCCCAGGCAGGTCTGCAGGGTGGGCGGAGGCCGCACTTCTGCAGAGAGCTATCAGTGGCTCTTCAAGCAGGAAGCTGTCAAGCCCCATTCACACCAGCCTTTCTCCAGAAAGGGCCCAAGGCCTGGTCTGGGCAGTCACCCACCCTGTACCCATCCCCCAGGGTGGGGGGTGGGGAGCTGGGAGAGAGGCCCCCAGGCACAGCCCCTGGCTGGGTGGGAAGGCAGCAAGGCCACGGGGAGCCAGCAGGGGGCAGCAGAGGCCACGCCAGCTCCCAACGCTCCTTGGGGGCAGCAGCCCAAGAACACCCACAAACCAGGATGGTGTCCGTCCCCGTGGAGCCGGGTCCCAAGGGGCCCGGTTAACGATGCCAAGGCCGGCCTGGCCTTCTCACCAAGGCCGCGCTGAGGGTGCAGCAGCCGGCCAGAGCTGTGTCCCCCTCGGTCCCCGTCTCGCTGCAGCCCCGGCGTGGGGGACCCCTGCTTCCTGCCCTCTGGCTACTCCATCTGCCTCCATCAGCAACTCCCTTTCTATTTAACACGTAACCAATTATCCATAGACGTGTATATGTGTGTATGTGTACACGTGTATGTTCAATTACATTGAAGTGCACAAATAGCTCTCTTAGAGTTTTGCTGTGAAAAGTGGGGCCACAGCTTGAAGAGTGAGAGAAATGGAGAGTTTGCAGAATATGAGCCTAGCAAGGGGCTGGGGTGCTCAGCAGCAGGGCCCTGGCCTCGCCCACAGAGGCCCCCAGCTCCCCTGGGGGGCGCGGCTGCGGGGCCCGGCTGCACCCCTGCGCCCAGCTCCCCTGAGGTGGGGAGCGTGGCTGTGGGGTCCGGCTGCACCCCTGCGCCCAGCTCCCCTGGGGGGTGCGGCTGTGGGGCCCGGCTGCACCCCTGCGCCCAGCTCCCCTGGGGGGCGTGGCTGTGGGGCCCGGCTGCACCCCTGCGCCCAGCTCCCCTGGGGGGCGCGGCTGTGGGCCCCGGCTGCACCCCTGCGCCCAGCTCCCCTGGGGGGCGTGGCTGTGAGCCCCGGCTGCACCCCTGCGCCCAGCTCCCCTGAGGAGGGGGTGTGGCTGTGGGCCCCGGCTGCACCCCTGCGCCCAGCTCCCCTGGGGGGCGTGGCTGTGGGGCCCGGCTGCACCCCTGCGCCCAGCTCCCCTGAGGAGGGGGCGCGGCTGTGGGCCCCGGCTGCACCCCTGCGCCCAGCTCCCCTGGGGGGCGCGGCTGTGGGCCCCGGCTGCACCCCTGCACCCAGCTCCCCTGAGGAGGGGGTGTGGCTGTGGGCCCCGGCTGCATCCCTGCACCCAGCTCCCCTGAGGAGGGGGTGTGGCTGTGGGGCCCGGCTGCACCCCTGCGCCCAGCTCCCCTGGGGGGCGTGGCTGTGGGGCCCGGCTGCACCCCTGCGCCCAGCTCCCCTGAGGAGGGGGCGCGGCTGTGGGCCCCGGCTGCACCCCTGCGCCCAGCTCCCCTGGGGGGCGTGGCTGCGGGCCCAGGCTGCACCCCTGCGCCCAGCTCCCCTGAGGAGGGGGCGCGGCTGTGAGCCCCGGCTGCACCCCTGCGCCCAGCTCCCCTGGGGGGCGTGGCTGCGGGCCCAGGCTGCACCCCTGTGCCCAGCTCCCCTGAGGAGGGGGCGCGGCTGTGGGCCCCGGCTGCACCCCTGCGCCCAGCTCCCCTGAGGAGGGGGCCCCGGCTGCACCCCTGCGCCCAGCTCCCCTGAGGAGGGGGCGCGGCTGCGGGCCCCAGCTGTACTCCTGCGCCCAGCTCCCCTGAGGAGGGGGCGCGGCTGTGGGCCCCGGCTGCACCCCTGCGCCCGCACAGGAGGCGCCAGGCTCACCTGACGCCCATCTTGCAGTCCATCACGCACGGCGCGTCGAAGTCGGCCAGCAGGTCCTCCATCTGGTTGTAGCGCTCCCCGTCCTTGACCACGTCCCCGTGGTAAGCGGGCACGAAGGGTCTCAGCACGTCCACCATCAGCCGGTCCAGGCAGCGCTGCTCCGACTCACAGTGTTTCTTCAGGATCTGACCGTTGGCGGCGGCCTTGAAGCTCCCTGGGGGCGGGGGGCAGGGGGAGGGGGGCCTGAGTCCCCAGCTGTGGTGGTCAGGGACCCGGCACCCACTGGGCAGCCCTCTGAGGGGCGTCAGGGACCCGGCACCCACCGGGCAGCCCCCGGAGGGCAGCACGGGGCGGGCCTGCCTCCTCCCTGGCAAGCCTCCTCCAGGCAGTGCCGATCCGGCTGTCCCCACCCGCTGACTGCCCGCCTCTTCACCAAGGCCGCAGGGGAGATTGTGGCCTCTCAGCCACCACTAGAGTCCAGCCTAGCCTACTCCCACCTAGCCTACTCCCACCTAGCCTAGTCCCAGCCTAGCCTAGTCCCAGGCTTGCTCCCCAGGCGCCAAGGCGCCGGGTCCTCAGGAGAGGCTGCGGAGGACGGGACTCTGTGGCAGGAAGGGATGGCGGTAGCCTGAGAGGTCGGGGGCAGGGCCTGCGCGGCTCTCCCGAGCCTGACAGACGCCCGTCCGGGTGTTGCAAACACGGCCAGGGACGCAAGGGCAGCCCTAGGGAGCCTAGCTACGCGGGAAGCGGCGGTCCGGAGGACTGTAGTTCAAGGACAGCCTGAGTAAGAAGTCAAGAGACCCTGTCTCAGCCAGCCGCCGTGTGGCGGGGCAGGGTGCGGTGCCCGCTTGTCTCCCCACTGTAAAGGAAGCCTACGGAGGAACCGCAGTCCAGGCTAGTGTGGGCAAAAGTCAGACCCTATTTGGAAAGCAACAGAAGTGAAGAGGGCCAGCGGCACAGCTCAAGCTGTCAAGGGCCTGCCCAGCAAGCACAAGCCCTGAGTTCCAGCACCCCAGAAGAAGCAACACGGAGCCAGTGCTGGCCTCAGAACCTGCAGGCTGTGGGAGTGCCAAGTGCACAGGCAGCCACTCAAGTGCCACCAGCAGGAGGAGACGCTGCGCCCCCCACCCAGCACCCCACCACAGCTGCCCCACAGAGACTTGGGATGTGGGGGGCTCGTGGGTGGCTTCCCAGCCCCAGGCTCCTCTGGGATGTGGGGGGCTCGTGGGTGGCTTCCCAGCCCCAGGCTCCTCTGGGATGTGAAGGACTCATGGATGGCTTCCCAGCCCCAGGCTCCTCTGGGATGTCGGGGACTCGTGGGTGGCTTCCCAGCCCCAGGCTCCTCTGGGATGTGGGGGGCTCGTGGGTGGCTTCCCAGCCCCAGGCTCCTCTGGGATGTGAAGGACTCGTGGGTGGCTTCCCCAGCCCCAGGCTCCTCTGGGATGTCGGGGGCTCGTGGGTGGCTTCCCAGCCCCAGGCTCCTCTGGGATGTCGGGGACTCGTGGGTGGCTTCCCAGCCCCAGGCTCCTCTGGGATGTGGGGGACTCGTGGGTGGCTTCCCAGCCCCAGGCTCCTCTGGGATGTGGGGGGCTCGTGGGTGGCTTCCCAGCCCCAGGCTCCTCTGGGGCTGAGGCCATGCCTCCTACGGCTGCCAGCAGGGACACAGCACACAGTAGCTGCTCCTGAGGCGGCCCTGCCAGTGTGGCCACGGTGGGCAGGCTACGCACTACCCACCTTACCAGTTTCATGGAGTAAAGCTGGAAGAGTGTCACAGAAAGGAAAGACTGGGAGGAGGAAGAGACAGGCAGAGGGCTGGAGGGGGTGTGTGTTTTGGGGAGCAGGGGTGTACCGGGGCGTTCGCAGGGTCTGCATTCATCTACCAGGCCACTGCCCTTCAGATGAGGACGCCTCCCAGAGAAGTTGGCCAAGCCCCCCCATGGCAAGCCCCTCCCCCATGGCCAAGCTCCTCCCCCATGGGCAAGCCCCTCCCCCATGGCCAAGCCCCCCCATGGCAAGCCCCTCCCCCATGGCCAAGCTCCTCCCCATGGCCATCCCCCTCCCCCATGGCCAAGCCCCTCCCCCATGGCCAAGCTCCTCCCCATGGCAAGCCCCTCCCCGTGGCCACCCCCCTCCCCCGTGGCCAACCGCCCCATGGCCAAGCCCTCCCACATTCCTTGGGTGCCTCTCCAAGGGGCAGGGGGGTGCTCTACCTGCGTGTCCCGCCAGCTGGATCCATGGGTACTTCTTCTTGAAGGACATGACGAAGGGAGACCAGTGCACCATGTTTTTGATTTTCCTCCATGACTTGCTCTAGAAGCAAGCAAAGCAAGAGTGCTACATTAGAAAGACAGCTGCTGCTTTCTGAGCAGAATGAATTCAAAGCAAGAGAACCCACTGCCTGTGGCCCCCAGGCCCTGGGTGTGCTCTGAGCACCGTGCGGCTGAGAGTTCCGGTGCCACGTGGCCTTGCCCTGTTCACCAACAGGCTGCCCAAGAAGGCCAGGGTGCTCCGGGCGGGTGAAGGAGGTTTGAGGAGGGACACAGGAATGATCACAATGAAACAGTCATGCACTATGTGTTGTTTTTTTGTCAGTTGTGAGGTTGAACTCTGGGCCTGGGCGCTGTCCCTCAGCTCTTCAGCTCAAGGCGAGCGGTCTATCACTTGAGCCACAGTACCACTTCATTTTCAGGTGTTTCATTGGAAATAAGAGTCTCACGGGCTTTCCTGCCCTGACTGGCTTTGAACTGTGATCCTCAGGTCTCAGCCTCCTGAGTAGCTAGGATGACGCTGGCGTCCAGCCCAGTCTTACACTGTTAATGTATGTTAATTCAGAAGTAAAAACAAAGTGTGTTCTTGAGCAGCAAAAGCCACTAATGAGCCTGAGACCTGGGAAGAAGCCAGGAGAACTCTGCAGGACAGGACAGGGTCTGGTTGCTGGGGACCCCTGAGGACGGGGCCCCTCACCCTGCCCAGAAATGCCCAGCAGGCCCTGTGGAGACCACAGCGGCCGCAGGGCCTCAAGCCAAGATCTCCATCTCTGTCGCTTCTGTTGGCTGCTCCGGCAGGTCTCACGTTCAAATCTGCCCAAGGAGAGGCATTGTCTCCAGAGAGACGCTGGCAACTCTGACTCAACACCCCAACTTCTACCCCCATCCTACCCCTAGGCTGTGTAGTCCAAGGCCAGGGCAGAACGTGATGAGCAGGCCAGGCTGGCTCCAGCCCCGGGCGGCTGGGGAGGGCTGGCACCGCAGCACCAGCTCTGTGCACATGCGACGCATGGCGGCAGGCGGCCGGGCACAGCGGAGCCTTGGCGCTGAAGGGCTCGGCGGGAGCCCCCTCCCCAGCTCCAACACCCAGCAGGCCCGGAGGAGAGGTGGCGGGACCGGTGGCTGGCGTCCAGTGGGACCATGTGAAGCCACACAACAGCATCTTTCTCTGGCGTCCGAGACTAGAAAGGGGTGCTCCAAGCTGGGGGCCCCTGACGGGCTGAAGGGATCCAAATGCTCCCGACTCCCGGAACGGGGGGAGAGGGCATTCTTCTGTCTGGCTTCCTATCCCCACACACTCCCAACCTGGAGGTGCTCCTTCACAACCAGAACTCCCTCACACTCCCTCGGCCAAGGCCAGAGGGTCTCCCACCTCTGGAAGGCTCTGGAATATTCCGGAGAAGGGCCAGGCTTTTGCTCAGCAGATTGCCGCACGCTGGCTGGCAGCAACACGGGGCTTCTCCCAGAGGTGTTTCCACAGCAGCAGGCAGGGGGCGGGGCTGCTCACGTGGGCATGCTCCCGCCCCCTGGCCTGGGGTGAGGGCTGCCCGGCTGGCTAGTAGTCACCAGCCCAGCCCCCCAGAAGGGCTCTGGCCGCCCTGGGCCAGCCGGCCCCCGCCTGGCCGGGCCCTGGGCCCAGGCTCAGCCCCTGCTGGCCGCCCGCCACCTGCGGGTCAGCATGGCTTCCGGGGCACCTGCTGGGGCAGGAGGTGGCTGCTGCTGCCCCACGGCAGGCCCCGCCCACTCAACCTGCCCCCCTTCAATTTGGGGGTGTCCTCCAGCGGCGGGGGAGCGGCCGAGGTCGGGGAGCCTCACCGGCTACACCAACGCCTATGCCTGGCTCCACCCCAGCTCTCACTGAGCACCAGAGGCCCTGCCAGGCCGCAGGCCGGGCCCGCTGCACAGCGCCCACAGACCGCGGGCGCGGGGAGCCAGAGGAAGCCCCCCTGGCAGGAGTGGCCTTGCTCCATGGTGGGCCTCCCAGGGCGGTGGAACTGTTCGCGGCTTCCTGAGAATCCTCTGGAGGCTGACAGCTGCTGCCCTCCACGCAGCCGCTGCCCTCTGCCCAGGGAAGTGACCCTGCCCACCGGGGTCCCGCCCCACCACCCCCTCTGCAGCCAGCCCAGCCTCGTGCCCTCATCTCAAACGGGCCGAGTCATCCCAGAGACGTGCGTGGCAGAGACCTGAGCATCGCGGCACAAAGCCAGACCGCACAGGCAAGTCCCTGAGACCCTCATCTCCCAAGCAAACACCAGAAGACTGGACACGAGGCTGGGCTCAAAGCGGGAGAGCGCTCGCCTAGAGAAAAGAGCTCAGGGACGGCGCCCAGGCCCCACAACCAGCCAAAAGAAAGGAGAGAGAAAGGTTCTCCACCTTTTAAAGGACTCGGAGGGGGGAGGGGCATCTCTAAAACACAGGCACAGGGAAGTGGTCCCTGCACCCGAGGCTTCCAGCCAGGAGCCCGACGTCTGCGCTGTGCGGCCGTCTGCAGTGACCTAGGGTCACCGGGCACAATGCTGGGGTCTCGTGGGAAGTGTCACCTCCACCCTGACAACAGTGGCCCATGCCAGAGGCACCGCGCACCACGCGGCCACGCAGCCCCAGGTGGGTGCCGTTCCGTCCTGAGGACCTGTGTCAGCCAACAGGGCCCCTGCCTCTCCTCCAGCCAGGGAACAGCGCGGCTCTGTCCACTGGCGACCTTTCAGATGCGGAGGCCCGAACAGCACACCCCCCCCCCAGCCGGCACCGGGCTGGCGCGCTCTGGGAGGAGGTGCGCTGAGCAGAGGGCTCCTCCGTGCTTTCCATGTTTGGAATCAGTGCTTTCTTTCCTTCCTCCTCTCCTGGCCTGACTGCAGGGCACCATGGGGGCCTGGTGCCTCTCCCGGCCAGTCCAAGAGGAGGGCATAGAGCCGAGGCCAAGCAGGTAGGCTCAGAAACCCCCCCACCCCGTCCCACCCCAAAGGAAGAAAGACACTGAGACTGGGAAAACAATGCCCAGGGCTTGGCAGGGCCAGCAGCTCTGGCTCAAAGGACAAGGGGCTTGAGGACCAACTGCCCCACCCCTGTAACCATGGAGATGAGCCCCACCCCTGTAACCATGGAGATGAGTCCCGCATCTCCTCCTACCGCCAGGGAGGTCCTCCCCACCCCCCACGGCGGGGGCTCAGAGCTTTGGTGCTCACCGTGGACAGGGGGAGCAGGGACGGTTCCCTGCCTGTCCCCACAGCCCCGCAGGGAGCCGTGCACGCAGCTCGGAGGTCAGAGGTCATCCAACACGGGCCAGCGTCAGCTGAGACGCACCTTTCCACCCGCGGCCTCTCCTTCGCGCTGCCAAGTTTACAACCTTGGGACATCTGGGGTTAGCATCTTAGCCTGGGCCTCCTCCAGGACCAGCTGGAGAGGCGTGGACTTGGGTGCGCGGCATGTGGGACTGGTCAGGCTAGAGGCGGCCCGCCCATGGGCAGGAGCTGGCCCTGGTGGGCTGTGTGCGGCCCGCAGACCAGCGCCCTCCTTCAACCACACACGGCGGGGCCGCCCAGCTGTCCTCTGCTCTGCTGCCCTTTCCCGGTGTGACGGGTCTCTGAGCAAGGCAGCTGGGACGCGGCTCAGGAGAGGGCCTCGTCCTGACCCCTCTCCCTCCCCGAGAGGCGGGCTGCTCCCTCCACCACGCACCGCACCGGGCTCCCGGCCTCCCCCTCCGCCTCCAGACCCCTCAGGGCCCAGCGGCTGCCCTCTCTGGTCTCTGGCTCTTCTCCTCTCTCCTGGAGTCCATCCTCTTCTCTGGAACTAAAAGTAATGGAGGGGAGAGGAAGAGGCAGAGCGGTAGCCGGACTGGCCAGGGCACAGGAAACGCTGGGCCCGCAGGGGCCTGGCAGGCGGGCGGGCAGGGCGCAGCTCCCTCCCGAGGCCCCGAGCCTCAAAGGCTGTGGCGGGTCTGTGGAGGGCCAGCCTCCCCTCCGCTCCGGCCACTGCCCGGGGGACAAGGCCACAGGACAGGTAGGGTCTTTGCCTGTCCCCGGGAGGTGGCCCGGGGACGGGGCACCCAGGGCCAGCTCCGCAGCCGACCCCCCAGAGTTCACTTCCACCTTGGAAAATGTAAATGATGAGGCTGGGCTACAGAGGGGGGACACTTAATGAGGGGCCCCGTGCCGTGACCTCTGACCCCTCCCCCCAGGACCTGCTCCCACATGCTGTGCCAGCCCTGGCCTGCGGAGGCCGGCAGAGTGCCCAGCATCGGGCGTTTGGTGGGAACCGTGAGGGTCCCCGGGGGCAACGTGTCCAAGGTGCTGTAGACGGTAGGGCCAGCACCAGGGTGTGACCCCGCAAGCCGGCCCCAAGCCACCTCACGGCTCATCAGAATGAGAGCTCCCATCCTGCGGCTCCCGGCTGCGGTGCTCGGCTTCTCTGAACCTGTTTCTTCTCAGTAGAAGGGGAAGCCACAGCTTTTCGGATCCACGCAGGGCCCCCTGGGCCCGTGGGGGCTGGGCCTCTGTGCGTTTCTGAGAGAAGAGTGGCGGACGCCACCCCTGGCTGCCCGGAGCGAGCTGTGAGCCGGGTGCAGAGGTGCGTGGACTGAGAGGAGTGGGTGCTGTGTGGGCCGCCCGCAGCCTCCGTGCCCCGCACACCCCTCCAGCAGCGAGCAATGCCGCTGGTCCCCACGGGACGCTGCCCGTGGCAGACACAGGAGCCGCTGCGGCCACACAGACAGCTTAGCCAGCCTGCCGCGGGACGTTTACAGGCCAGGCAGGTGAGAGGACCCCACCCCACCAGGAGCAAAGGGGGCTTCACAATGCCGCCTCTGTGCCCAGCCCGCACAGCCTGGCCCTGCCCGAGGAGCCCTGCGCCGGGCCAGCACCCCCGACGTGTCCCAAGACAGTCCCAGGAGGAAAAGCCCTCAGGTTCCAACGCAATGACCCAGGCCGCCGCCGCCGCCGGACCTGGCACAGGGAGAGGACCTCGCAAGGCACACATCCGTGACGGAGCACTGGCTCCGGGGCCCGGGAACATGGCGCTCGGCCGGGGTCTGGCGGGGGTCTGCCCTGG